CTCCATTGCTGAACTACTCAGCACCTTGAAAGCATCAATACAAAACTGATGGCCACTTCCTTGACCCCTTCTAAGACTCGAAATTTCAGCACAAGCTTGAAACTTATGACTATCCTCATCCTCTTACTGAGATGCCCTGCAGACCTCTGCTGTGTGTTACCCTTGGAGAAACAAGCAAAATAAACCTCACTTTTTCACTGTGATGGTACCATGGAGTGACCCAGAATGAAATCCAGGAGTTGAATTTCCACACTTTTTTTTTTTTTTGGTCAATTCTGTTTTAAATTTTTTATCTCCCATATTCTTTTATACATTTCTTATCCACTTTTTTAATTAATTTATTTTTTTATGCATATAGGACTGGGGTGCAGGCCAGAGGTGCAGAGACAGAGTGGGGAGCAGAACAGGCAGATTGATGAAGTACACTGCTGAGGGGAGCAGTGAGCAAGACAGGAGATTTCTGCCACGCCATGTGAGTCACCTCCAGCCTGGGGACCGAATGCACACTGAAGCGGCTGCACCACTAGGAGGGCCTGAATTTCCATTCTTACTCCCTGATCCCTTTACTGTTTTTGTGGATAGCCAGTTGGAGTGTGGTTTCACTCATACAACAGTCAGTCCACACTTCAGTATATCTACCACATGGTTAAAATGACTGAGAATTTATATTTTCCCTATGAGAATCATATCATACAATGATTGAAATAACTATAACTACCTCTCCCTCAAACCATTCATGACAACTCTTGAGGTATGAGCTGCACTTTTCACAAATCTTTTGTGAAAAATGACCTGAAATTATCTTCAGTTGTACTTCACTAGATAGTACAACTTTACCTGTCTGTTTACTTTTCCATAACAGTTCCACTCCATGTTGGCGATTCTTAGAAAGCCCTTTTAATTCCCTTACATGAATCTTCCTCTCAGAGTCTGCTTCTGAAGAACCCAAATTATGATAAATGCCTCTCTGACCTATATATTACCCAAGACTTAGAGTGTGTATGAGAATTAGGCACTTGTAAGGTAAGGAATGGTGTGAAAGGTCAAGAGAAACTCAAAAAATAATTATTAAAAAAAGCAATTTGACTGAAAGAAGATATCCTTTAGTTTCTTCTGTTGCTGACTGAAAGAAGATATTCTTTAGTTTCTTCTGTTGTTGGAGCATGAAATAGGGACAGTGAATGTCCAGCCAGTGCCAGTAACAAAAGACTTTTTATGTTGCCTTAAGAGTTTGGATTTTTTTGTAATGGAGGGAAAATATCAGATTAATATTTCAGACTCACCACTCTGGTGACTATATAGAGAATAGGTCTAGTTAGAAGTCTACTTCAAAATTTATAAAATAATAACACCTAAAGTAGAATTCAAATGGTAAGAAATAGATTCAAAAACAATTAGAAAGAGGCTTATCCTAGTAGATATGGGTGCTGAAGGAAAGGAAGGACAGCGGATGACTCCCAGATTCTAAGTTGGGTAGTAGGTAAGTAGTGAGAACAGAGTCTAAATGCAGGGAAAGGAGCTGTTTCAGTTGGTGCTATAAAGTTTTTACTTTGGTGTGGGTTGAGATTGAGTAACCCATCAATCCTAGAAGATATCCAACTGGAATTTGAACTAAAAATATATAAATGGTAATATATACTAAGTGAAGATGAGATCATTCCAGAAAATGTAATGGGAAGAGTGTTAGTGTAAGAAAGGAACCTGGCAGGACATAGGAATTGTCATCCTCCCTAGCCACTATCAAATTGCCTACTTATTATATCACGTCATGAAAGAAATATAGTCAAAATCTGAAAAGGTAAATAAAAGAAAAGGAATAATGTAGTAGTAGAATGACTCTGTTGTTGCTAATATAAATTAAAACAGTATTGCCTCCAAACCAAGGAATGTATATGTAACCAAGAGTTATCCTTTGAGTGGTTGCTCTGTTAGTCATTACTACTGAAGAATACTTTAAGTATGAAAATAAATGATAATGTTTTTAAAAAGATAAAGAGAGTAAAGGTAAATAAGAACCCAAGAATCACATAACTAAGGATAAAAGAACATGAATCTGTTTGGCTCTGTTAGGTTTCACATGATAACACATGCCCTTAACCACCAACAACACTGCTGTATCCTAGAAAACTTGCAGCACTATGAACCAGTCACTGCAGCACAAGTTCTATCTCTAGCCAGGGAGGCGACCCACATAGCACAACAGATCTCTCCTATCTCACCCACCGCTCCCCTCAGAAGTGTGTTTCAGTTGATCTACTTGTTCTCTTCCCACTCTGTCTCTGATAAATCTTCTCACCCCTCCCCCCCCCACAACCTTCTGGCCTATATCCCATTCTTGTATTCATAAATAAGGGCATCTTTTAAAAAAAGAAGAAGAAGAAGAAAAGAAAACAATATAAGTGTGTTCAAAATTAATGAGGACAGGAAATTTCAACTCTAAGCTTCTTAACAATATTAATGTATACAACAGAGGGTGTTACAATATTACTTGTAAAATAAAGAAAATCTAATTATAGGCATTTAAAAGTCATTGATTAAGCCAATGATGAAAGAAATCCTCCACCAAGCCAAGTGGAGGATACATTAAGCTATCTGAAGGCTGAAATTTCCATCATTAGTGATGAGTCTTTTGCTTTCAGTGACTATATTCAAACTCTAAGTCTGTGCAAGATGAGTAGAAAGCTGGACTACACAGGGCACGCCTACATTCATATTCCAATAAGGCCTTTCTTGTGAGAGCACATTGTATACTCTCACTACTCTGGAGAGACTGTTGTTCCCATAAAACTTCAGGATGCATTTTTGTAGTCTAAACTCCAACCACTTATGTGAAGAATGGCTCTTTAAAGAGCACATCAACATTTTGCTGTATGCCTCTTACATACTGACCCTTCTTGGGTTTAAGATGACCGTTTTCTAAGAATAGAAAATCTGTTCTAAATGAGAAACAGCCTTTGAAATTGCTTTATTGCTATGTTGGTTTTTCTTTGTAATTATGGTTGATTTATTCCATAAATTTACAGCTACGAAAGTCCGGTAATGACAATGCAGTCCAACCAAATTTTTAATTCATTGGAGAAGACAATAAAGAGATTATGGAATCTAAAAATTATTTTTTGAAGACACTTGTTAGGTTTTCCAGAGGCATTTTGGGGATTTTCCATAGGAACTGGCCTAGAGCAAAGCTGAATTTCAAGAGTCCTAGAAATAGCATGAAAAAATGCCTTTCTAGTCCTATTTCCATCTTAAGTAATGAGTAGAACTTTGTGTTGACAGGAAACCATTTGTGTTGGACACAAGCAGTGAAAGAAGAAAAAAGAAAAAAACTGGAAAGTCCAGAACAAAAGTAGGCAAAGTGTCTGGAAATAAATGTGTGTGTGTGTGTGTGTGTGTATACATTTATTTATATTTACTTATATTTACATTTTTATATATGTGTGCACTTACATATATGACTGTATATACAAGCATGTACATATACAACTATGATAAAAATTAAAACTATAGACTTGAAAAAATAGAGTTCCCAAATTCTGAAAACAGGTGTTAACAGGCATAAGTTTTCTTTGCAGTGTACTGCAGAAAGTATGGCTCCATTATTACTTCAGTTGAACTTGAATTATATTAGCATCATAAGAATCCTAAAAGTCTCCTTAGTTCATCAAAATTCTTCATTTTCATGAGGAATACTTTAACTTTGCCTACACCTTCATACCCTACTATAGTCTCCCAATTTTCCTATCCTTTTTATTGAAAGTGAGTGAAACAATGGCCTTAACTTAATCTAAGTGTCCAGCTTAAGGTTATTTAACTAACATTAAATAAATGTTAATTTACTTCCGCCCTCGAAATTTCTTTTGTTTGCAACCTCTGAAATTCAAGTCCATAGCTAGTAATAAAGAGAATGCAGTTATAATTGAAAATGCAGTGAGACCAAAGGCTACTGTGTCTAAAATAAGAAATAATAATAATATCCACACCCTTGGGAACTTGTATTCTGTTTATTACTATAAACTTAAGACTTTCATTCGGATCATAGACTGTGTCTCATTCATGAATGAAGAAAAATGAAAACAAATACTTGCTGGTAATAAATGGAGGACATAACAAGTAGACCAAACTCTTCCTTCATAAATAAACAAGATCACATATCTGGTAGGACAGTACCAGACATCAAAGAAGGGATACCAGAAAACTAGTACCAGAAAATAGTTCCCTTTTTGTTCCTTCTTGTCATACTTTTGGATGAGCTTGACCAACCTATGTAATACTCTGAGCCTTGAGCCTTAGTGTCCACTTATATAAAATCAGAATAATCATAATACCTACTAGTCGGGTTTCATTGAAGATAAAATAGCACCATTCATGGGCAATCACTAAGTTTATAGATCAGTAGTTCTCTTTTAACTGAAACGATCTTTTAAAGAAAAAAAAAAGATTTGCTTATGCATAAAGAACTGGGGTGTAGGCCACAAGTGCAGGATTCAACAGAGACAGAGTGGGGAGCAGAACAGGTGGATCTTCTGAATTATACTGCTGAGAGGAGCAGTGGATCAGACAGGCGAGATCTGCTAGGCAACGTGAGTTAGCTCCCTGGCCAGGGATCAAACTCATGCCATAGTGGTGATAGCATGATAGTGCTGAGAGACTTAGATCGCACACCACCAGGAAGCCCAGTGATCAGTTCTCAAAGCAGGTCCTTCAGCAGCAGTGCCAACGATATTTTATACACACACACACACACACACACACACATAGAACGTCATTCTTCATTTTGTACATTTTTCATCTTGGATGTAATCCCCGTGGACTTTCCACCACCAGTTCACCCATGTGCCATCTAAAACATGTAAACCTATGTCATTTTATAAATTCAAATGCTTTATCCAACTTTATTTAACTTTTTAAAATAAATCAAATTGCAAAATTATACACACACACAAATGCACACATATAATTTTCTCACTGACTTTCTTTGTAACCTTGGAGATGCAGGCCTATAAAAAACAGAAACTTCGTTATACTGAGCTAAAAAACTTGTGGCCAGTCTCATAGCTTGCCAGGCACTATAATCCTTGAGTTTGAGCATATCAGCTTGGACATGGAGCTCTTTGTGGCGGACAGAGATTCCTTTCTCTTTCAACAGCCCCGCCTTCCTTCCATTGATTTAATTTTCTCTTGTTCTCAGTGACGTCTTTGCTTTAGCTTGTAACTTCTATTGGAATGCCCTATAGAAAGAGACTAAAGAATCACACTAATCATGTCACCTTTTCATTCAGACTAAAATATACTAAAATATAGCTTTCAGATAAAATAAATAGCATCCACAATTCCTCCACATTATAAATTCATCAGATTACATTTACACTCAGCAAAGACTTATTTACTGAATTTTGAGTAGCTATACCCCTAAAGTGGCCTTTCCCATCCACACTTGCTTAGTCTTTCTCAAAAAACATATAACAAATTTTGAGGGTTTTTCAAATATAATTTAACAGTTACAACATGAACTTGAAATATAACTTTTTGGATTCTAAATATAGGAATTAAAGTTACATCAAGTTGAATTCTCTCTTCAAAACCTGGAGAGGACCAGGAAGAATATAAACAGCAAGGGAAAAATCAGAATCCAGATTCAGTTTTCAAGTTTAAGCTTTATTCTCTAATGTAACACAGAGCTTCTAAATCTTTATACATGCAAGTTCAGAAGAAGGTTAAGAAAATAGAAGGTGAATTCAGAATTACTATATGGTATATCAAGGTTTCTCGATCTGAGCACTACTGAGCTTTTGGGCGAGATAATTGTTTATTGCAGGAGCTATTCTGTGCATTGCAGGACCCCTGATCTCTACCTGCTAGATGCCAGTAACATACCCCCCAGAGGCAAAAGCCAGAAATGTCTCCAGACATATCCAAATGTCTCAGGAAATAAAACTGCAATTAAGGACTCCATTAATGAATATTTCTTCTCCTAGAAACTGAAAGTCAAGAAATTGATGCAAGTTTCCAAAAAGATAATAGAGAAAGCATACCATCCATTTTGCCGTTTATTCTACATAATGCAAATTGTATAAAATGCAAAAGGAGAAATCACTGAACAAAATTATTTTATTTCAAAAGACTGGCTGCAACCCAAGTGGATGAGAAATGTGGTTGTAATGGTTCTTCTATAATCTGTATCTCAGAAGCATAGCCAAGGAATTTTTTAGAAATATCTTTTTATTTTCTATATTCTGTAATCTTCAACATGTAAGCGCTGCTCACTCTAGAGGGACTGTCCCGCCCAGGTTTAGCCAATTCCCAGCGAATGTAAACTATTGACCCACAAGTTAACCTTTCAAATACAAACCAATTCCTATTTCACACCTAGACCATTTCTTTTATTAAGTTCTCACATTTGGGCCACTATCCATCTGTCCTAGTCATCAGGATCATGTACTAGATAATCCAGGACAGTTCCTAAATTCCAAAGCGCTGAAGTTATTCAAAGTAGTCAATCGTAAAAATACTTACTAAACCTTGCCCATTCTTTCCACAGAAAACACAGCAAAAGTTCTTTCTGCCATTCCTCTCTCCTTCTTCCCTGTGACCCACTCCAGTATTTCCCATTTGATCCCCCTGAAATAATGCTTCCCTCCTCTTGGGAGCTGTGAGTAGCAGCCATCTTTTCAAGAAGAATCATTTTCTGATCTCAAGCGAGGCCTTACCATATCTCAAATTTTAATATATAGATTTATTTATTACTAGTATTGTTTGAATGAACAAAGACATAACCACTAATGAAGAAATTTTCAGCTACATTTTCTTTAAAAACCATCTCCATCCCTTTCCAATGTCTCCATTTTTTTTTATTAAAAAGTTTATTTTTACATCATTTTGCACATTGTCTCCATTTTTTTTTAACTTCGATACTGAGTTAAAAAAAATTTCTTTCCTTTAGCAGATTAAATAATCCTCACATCTTGACTTTAAAAAAGATTTTAGTTACAAAACACATATTGCTAAATGTTTCCAGACACTTACTAGAGAGCAGTATGATTTATAAAAGAAAAAAAAAAAACATTGTTGAAATTATAATTATATAGTTATAATTATAATTATAAATAGGTACATATTCAAAGATAATTTAACTTTTTAATCTCAATTTTTATTGTAGAAGGAATAGTAATCTGCTAGGTAAACAACTCCATACATCTTCATGTGGGATAAGGAGCAGTCTAGGAAAATCTTATTTTTTTAAACACTAATTAACAAATTGAACATACAACAATTTACCAAATGCTAGGAACACTGCTAAGTGGTTTTCATTAATTAGCCATGAAGCAAGTACTATTATTATCTTCATTAACTAACAAAATAAATTTGAGATAATAATAATTCGATCAAGTTCACACAGCTAGAAAGTGGTGGGAAAATTGATTCAAATCTAGGCAATTCAACTTCTAAATTCATGAATAATTACCAAATATCAATTTTAAGTCTAGGAGTTATACAGAACTGTTATAACTGGTAATAGTACTTAGACTTTAGACTGAAAATAAAGTCAAAAAGAACGTGCTTACTTGCAGTTTATTATTTTCATGGACAAGATGTCAAGTAAAAATAAGTGCTATCATTTCTCTAAAACATTATGTATGCTTCTGTTTTTTGTTGTTGTTGTTTATCTATTACCATAATATAATTCATAAACAAATTACAAAGCACCATAAATTAATTGCCTTGGAATTGTTTGTAAGTAAACTTTATTAAAAGCATTAATTAGCTATTTTACTTTTTCTGTTAGCGACTCATCTTCAGATCACTGGATCAGGCAGAAAACAAAGATATAAGAAGAAAAATACTACAGAAAGACACTTAACATTAACCAGTGAGTAACAAAATCAGATACCGACTAAATGGCACTTAAGAAGCAGGGAGAACTATTGAGGAAAGTATAGTAAGAGAGAGAAAATGTAAAGAAAGAATAGAAATTAGGTATTGAAAAATGTACTCAGAATATCGTTCATTTTTTAAAGCCAGAATTTGCCATGTTTGATCCTACCTGGCTTCTAAGCATTGTAGAACTGCATTGAGGACAAAGCAATGTCTGGCTTTCTCTGCTGCTGATCTCCACCCAGGCACTATGTTTTACAAATCACTGGAATAGGTAGTAAGATTAGCGTGAAGTGCATCAATTTCAAAAAGCGCTTTTAGCATTTCTGGGAAAAATAGATACACTGGTATACTTTGTTAAAATGATAAATTTTTATATTAAGTATTTAAGGAATAAAGTTGGCCCATTTGAAAACATTTCTGCATAAAACAACAAATTTGGGTTACGTAATTATCACTGAAGAGGAAATATTTCGGCTGAAAGTGGAGTGATTCTGATGACTTTGGATAAGTTACTTTTAAGAAAGTTACTATGAAGTTGACTGTTGGATCTCAAACTGGAGACATTAGCCTCCTAATGGCTTGAAGAAATTGCAAGGTTGAAGAAACTTCAAATGTTTATAAAAAATAGAAAAAATATGACGAAGCAGACAAACATTATCCATAATCCTACCTCCACAGACCTAACTAAAATGAACTATTTGCCTCCAATAATTGCTCAACGCATTTCTCCTTACATAACAGAGATCACTCAAAATGAAGCAAGCGAAAGGACTTTGCTACCTCATTTAAATCTTTTTGTGTGGACCATTTTAATGATTGAATGTCAACTGTCATCTCAGGATCTAGTAAGCAAAGCCTTTGACCATTTCCAGTTTTGCCTGCAACCCATATTATTAGAGCATCACTAGACCGGGGTACAGGTCACAATCTGTGGGTTCTCACCTAGGCAATCAAAACCACAAGACACCACTCAGGCTCAGCGTTCAATGATAACAAGCTTTGCTAGGTGATCGGCAAAAGGAAAAGGGTTTCTAAGGCCACAAACGGCTGGTTACTCTACCCCAGGTAGCGTCCGCAGTGTCCACCTGTCCACTGCAAAGGCCTTTTGTACTAACTGTCATTGTCTCTTCAACAAGAGCCTGGAGCTGCTGGCACACAAGTTAAGTGTTTGTTAACTCAAAATGTTGCAAGGATGCGGTAGGGTCTGTCTTCTTTCATATTTATCTTTGGACTTAAGCAAGCCCTTTTGATTTGCATCTCTAGGCTCTTTTTTTTTTCTTTTTTTTTTTTAAGATTTATTTATTTATTCATACAGAACTGGGGTACAGGCCAGAGATACGGAGGGTGAGAGGATTCACCAGAGACTGAGTGGGGAGCAGAACAGGCAGATCAATGAAGGGGAGCAGCGGGCGGGTCAGGAGAGGTCTGCCACGCCATGTGGTCACCTCCGGGGCAGGTGGGGATCGAACTCATGCAGAATAGGCTTAAGCTTCTTAGTGCTGTGCTTTAACCCGCTGAGCCACCAGGAAGGGCCTCTAGGCTCTTTTATACTTAAAAAAAAAAATTATCTCAAGAATATCTTTCATTGTGTTCTCTCTCAATTGAGTTTTTCTCCTCAGAAGTACATGAAATTCTCAGATAAAATTTCCACGCACTGCCAGCTGCATCTATAACATGTCCTTTAATGTCTTTTTGTTTAGTGGCATAGTTGCAAAGAGCCCCCCACCTCACTGGCTCAATTTCGTTTTAAATATTTTGCCTTCAATGTGTTAATTTATATAAATCAGTTTCGCTTTTGCTTTTTTTTTTTTTTTTTAAGTTTACCAGAGCTGGACCTTGTGCGACAATCTCACTATAATGTAGTAGATATGTCTATAAATTCTGAGGTCAAATACATATATTCTAATCCCATATCTACCACTTCTTCACTGTGTAATAGCCAGAGAATTTCATACATTTTAAAATCTCATTGAAAAGATTATAATGATGGTACCACCCTAATAAGTTTGCTTTGAGGTTTAAATAATCTATGAAAAGTACTTATTCAATTGCCACCAGTACTGTTATAGTAATTATTATAATAATAAGCAGTTCTCATTTCATGGTGCCCTTCTATCTGAGGGGAGTCGCTCCTAATGTTTACTCCCCTTATAGATCTGCTGAGAACATACATACAACAGACTGATTCTACAGTGTTCCCATTTTTACTCTTAATTTTCTTGTTTTGAGTGTATTTTGGTTGCAAAATCCATACAAAGAGAATGGGTTATAACCTTTCAAAAATATGCTGAGTTTGGAATAATGCTGTTTAGTTGCCATAGGGGATAAGACAGAAAATCTCATAAGCTTCTGATGAAATATTCTAAGGTCATCTCAGTCAGCATCTTTTTTTCTCTGAGTACCAAGTCAAACTTGTAAATGAGTTTTCTCAGTAAGAATTCCTGTGAGTAAAGCACAAGAAGAAAAACCATTACTTGCAATAGCAAAGATTTTATTTAAGGAAAATTTGCTGAACTGGTATTATGTTAACAATTTAAAATATTGTCCAATGGAATCAAAGCCAATGTCATGTAATCATGTAATGTGAGCACCAAAAATACTGTTAAAAATCATTTAGTCTAATCCTCTCATCTTGCATATGAAGTAGAATCTGAAGTACCTTGCTAAAGGTTCTCCCAGAGTACTACAAGGGTCTCCATGCCTGCTAAATGAAGATAACATCGCACGCCATGACATACCACGCACTTGATATCTGAGAGCACGCAAACCCCAGTATATCTAAGTGGCTTGCATGCAAAGCCTCACTGAATAACTACAACCAGTTCTAGAACACATAAAGCCCAGTAGAGATAGAACTTCAGATTAAACTGAAAATTTTGTATTGCTACTCTATAGTTCAGAATCTTCTTTAAATAAATATAAAATTCTTGAAAACAGAAGAGTATGGGCCCTTCCTGGTGGTACAACAGGTTAAAAGCACAGCACTATGAAGCTATCCACAGCCACTGCAGCACAAGGTTGATCCCTAGCCAAGGAGGTCACCCATATGGCATGGCAGAATTCTCCTGACCCACCCACCCTTTCCCTCAGCAGTGTTATTTCAGCACATCTGCCTATTCTGCTCCCCACTGTCTCTGGTGAATCCTCTCAGCCCCTCCCCCTGCACCAGTGGGTTAAAGCACAGCACTATGAAGTTAAAGCCACTTCAGCATGAGCTCGATCCCCGCCCCAGAGGTGATCCGCATGATGCAGCAGACCTCTCCTGACCTGCCTGCTGCTTCGCTCAGCAGTGTACTTCATCCATCTGCCTGTTCTGCTCCCCAGTCTATCTCTGGTGAATCCCCTCACCAACCCTGCACCTCTGGCCTGTACCCCAGTTCTGTGTGCATAAATAAATACATCTTTAAAAAAAAAAAAAAAAAACAGAGTATTTCTGACTCAGTTATCTTCTGTGTAATTCAAACTTTGGGATTGAAACTGAAAAGTTCTGGGACCTCACTGGTGGCTCAGGGATTTAGTCTCAGCACTATCAAGCCATTGCCAGCCACTTTGGCTAGAGTTCCATCCCAGATTCCAGACAGGTAGCCAACCCATATGTTAGAGCAGACCTCTCCTGTCTCACCCGTGGCTCCCCTCACCAGTAAATTTCAATAGATCCAGCTGTTCTGCTCCCCACTTTCAACCCCTATCTTCTCAACCCCTATCTCTCTAGTCTACACCTCAGTTCTTCTACGCAAAAATAAATTCTCCCATTTTTTTTTCAAATGGGAGAAGCAACATAATAAAGATCCGGAAAGGTGTTATACTAGAGAAGACATTTTCATTAATACTTAGTATCTCCCAAGTTATTTTTCAATTTGCAGGAAAATTTTGCACAAAACTTTTTTCAGAACGCAAGAAAAGAATGAAGGCAAAGTGAAAATGTAAAAAATGTGGTAAGCAAACTATCACATGTCTAAATCTCTCTCAGAACTTTCTCATAGTGGAGATGAACATATTTCCTAAACAACATGTGCAGTAAAATATAGCTTTTATATTATCCAGAAATAGGTTTCCAAACTTCTTCTCTGGACCTACATTATAAATCCAAGAGTATTTAGATAATGAATAGGTGAAACTTTTATTGTGAAAACATGGCCTGACATGACTCACCTTAAAGTTTCCTAAGACTCCCCTGGTAGTTGATCTTCTCTAAGATTCCTTTGATTGTCCATGGAGATCCTACTGACTTCATTTTGCCACAGCTCTAAAGTTATTTTGTATACCTGGAGCTTGGAATCAAATAGATTTTAGATTAGATTTTGATTCTGAGGAAGTTCTAGTTTATAATGTTTTTTCTGAGGAATATCTTCTTAGCTTCCCTAAAGTTCTAATCTTGTTCATCCTTAAGGACAGGAGGAAATGCTGCCTTCTTTATGAAACCCTTTCTAATTCTCATATGCATGCATATAGGTGCTATAATTTGTGAATCCCCATTTTGCATTATATGTTTTATTCGGAGGTTATTACTTTACATCAGGTTTTACATTGAGCACATGCAAGGATCTGTACCAGGTACATTGCATCTACCTTGCTTACCTCAGTAAACAAACATGCTCAGAAAGTGTTTAATGAATGGAGAAACCATAGATATCTTAGCATTCTTGAGAACAAATTTTGTGCATAATTATCTTTGCAACTGTAGAGGCCTTGGACTTGACCAAATGTTGAATAAATGAATTGAATCCAATAACCTTAATTTTGATTCTAAAGAAACAACTTGGCTAACCCTGATATCTCAGACTCAGACACAGCTGTTGCATTCAATTCTAACACTTAAAATTATCATATATTTTTTATTCTCTTACTCCCTTAATTCCTCTAGCAAAGTCTTCATAAGTAACCAGTTAAGCATCTTGCTACAAAAGGAAAAAATTAAGACATCAAGCCTACTTGATGACAAGTTCACTGGGAACATACATTTAAATGAGGTAATGTTCATGCAAAGTACAATTTCCATGAGGGATCAAAAGTCTAACACCTTCATCGAGAAAATTAGATTTTAATGGGAAGTGAATGTTACATAAAAAGATTATGGAATAAACCTGACCTTAGAGTGCCCTGACTTTTAAAATCTGAGCAAGGCATAGCAAAAAAAAAAAAGAAAAAAGCAATCATTTCTTGGTTCATTAGTAGATAAGTCCACTTGAAGCACATAAGTTAAACATATTTCTGAAGCTGACCCATGTAAGGAATTAAAATTTCCATGGCTACAGAGATTTTTATCCGGGAGATGAAAAGGCCATTAAAGATGATTCTGGCAAAATATCATTTCTAAAGTCTACTTTTCTTTTTTGCTTCACAAAAGGCAATTTTTCTATTGTAGGGAAGTCAATAACAATATGAATGAATGGTGACTATTTCAAACCCTGTCTCTAATAAGTAGGTTTTGACAGTTGAAATGGAGAGATGTTAAGGAAAACAGCTTTTACTCATTATTTTCACATTTCTAAAATTTCCAGACTTCCAATTGCCATATTTTTTCTCATAAAATTTCAAAAGTCTACATATATTAATCCTACAGGTTTCAAGACTTCTTTCATTAGTAAGATATAGACAGGATAAAAACAGTTGAGTGTTATAACAAACACCCTTGACTCCCTTCTAGAATTTGTCTCTGGTGGTGAAGGTAGAAATCATTTCACAATAATTTCAGAAATTTTACAAGTCTTCAACACTGTACTGAAGGTTAGAGTTCATCAATGTAAGTACTTAAGCTTTGATTATAAATGATCCTTCTCTATCTTTTAAAATCTTTGCTTGTTTGTTTCACTTGAAGGCAAATTTTGCCCTCAATCTATTAGGTTCCTCAACATTTACATCATAAGGATCACAGCTTGTGTGTAAACCTGTTTGAGTTCTACCAAGTCATGAGAATCTAACATCCTTGCCATTGCCAATAAAAAAAATATGCTGCCAAACCCAAACACAGCTTGAATTCAGATGGAGTATCCTTTAAATTCTAAGCAGTCTTTCAATTTGGCAAAAAGACTAGTGTCCTCTCAACATTCAATACTTACCAAAGAGAAAAATTCAGCAAAGCAAGTCTCTTTTTACTTCACACATAAGAAAAAAGCAAAATGGCTATTTAATAACAAAACCATAATTCATACCAGATCATTCAAAATATATTTGCACATATTTATATCTTAACAGATAAATTTAATTTAGAAAAATATGTGATTCCTTACTTACTCATCCTTTTTTGTTTTAATTGTGAGTGTGTGTCATTCCAATCTCAGAAGAGTTTTATAGAATTCAAAAACTTCCTCTCTGCTACACATTTGATAGGTTCCATTTTTCGTGCAATGACAGCAAGATGGAAACCTGAGAACACATCCATGGTGACTTGTTCCCAACCAATCACAATCTGAAGAGGCCTCTGGCAGAACTATAGACAAGTAATCCCAAGGTTCATTTGAAAGAAGAAAAACATTAAGGAAATATCAAGGCCTCTTGGCTGTCTTCAGCTATCAACAGACTCGATTTGATTCACACAAACTCATGGAACATCAGGTCCAAAGTCTGAATTCAACATGAGTTCATGAAAGCCATGAATGTGGAGTTTAATATTTCCCTGGCATCAGAAACCATGAAGCACATAATGCCGTCAAGAAGATCTAGAATGAATGATTTCTCATTTTTCCCATAGAATGACAAACTTTTGGTTGTAGACTTTCAGAGTTCAGTTTGGAATACTATAGCCTCAGTTCAGTTGTCAATTACCTCCTTACTGCCCTCATATACAGAATATGAGTCGTGGGTACAAAAAAGCTGCCTGAAAAGAAACCGACACACCTCTAAATAAAGCATACAGATGGCAAACAGGCATGTGTAAAAAGTGTTCATCACATTATCAGGGAACTACAAATCAAGAACACAATGAGATACTACCTCACAACTATGAGAATGGCCCATATTCAAAATACAGAAACAACTAGTGTTGGCTGATCTCATAAATGAGTAAAATCACCAGGAGCTCTCTGTGTGATAGGGGAAGTAACAAGATCATGATAAAAATCACAGGAAGATCAACTCTTAGGGGATCAGTCAAGCAAGAAGAGCCCAACCCCAGACCAAGTGGAGAATATCATCAATGGTGGAGATCCACAGAAGTCAGAGGACAGCATTTCACTAAAGAAAGTCTGGTCAACAATGTCAAATGTCATCAAAAGATCAAGTAAATTAAAGCCTGAAAAGGGTCTGCTTGACTGAGTGTAATTTCAAGCCAAGGGATGAGTCTTGATCCGAAGTAGTATCTCGGCAGAGTTTTGACTCACTCTGGACTAGAGTCTTCTAGCTCTTTACAATAGCAACCGGTGCTTTACATCTTATATTCACAGCTGAAATATACCACGAAGCCACAGAGTGCCAAGTCCCTTCAGCCTCAATGTACTTAGGATAAACTTAAAAACTGAACTTTTCATAAACAAAAAGAGCTTAGAATATTTTTGTTTTTCTTCTTCTAGCAAGTGATGAGCCAATACTTGACACAGTCTTTGCTTTGGGGATGTAATAAATTCATCCTCTGTTTAGGGTGGGGTATTCCAGACAGTTTCTTGCTGTGTGTCCTTGATTTTAAGGTCAAATAGAGTTCACTGGTAAATATAAATTAAGCAAGTGCTTCAGCATTAGCATTTGTTTTGTTCCAGAAATAGTCATAAATTTTTAATGAAGAAAACTGCTCCCCAAGTTTGCTTTTAAAGGATATTGGGAGCTATCTTACTATTCACAATAATATGTAGTCCTTAGTTTATAGCTGTATAAGATATACCCAGTATTATTTGTGATGTCTCATTTGGAAAAATGAAATGTGATTTTTTTTTCATACTGTTCAAAACTGCTTGCTATATCTATCTCTCTATCTTCTAGTTAATACCAAAGACTTAAAATTATCATGGTTATTATATTTCTTACATCTATTGTAATACAGAAGCTACTGGGGAAAAATCCATACCCCCTGATAGTTAAGTATGAATCAGCTTACAAAAATTATAGGAGCACATGAAAACCATATTTTCATCTAACCATATTTTAACCTAAGCCCCAGTTCTATTGACAATTGATCTTTATCTATTTGGGATGGCAAGGGAAATGTTTTATGGGTCCAACTTGTCACAGTGAGTTTGAATCACTCAAATCACCAAATAATTCCATGCAATTGCATAAAGTAGAAAAGTCAACCTTTGAAAGAGCCAGTAAGCACACTAGTTACATATTTGGTAATAAAAGTGATGGAACAATTCCGTCTTCCACAAAATCCTAATGTAGTCTGTTTCCTATGAAGTGGAAGATATGCAATAGGCCAATGAGTATATACCAAGCACTTCTATTTAGTTTACTTTAGCATAGTTTTCTTTTTCCTGAGAATTTGATATTTTTCCTCAATTCTCTCATACTGAACTACCCAGGAATTTAGATCAACATTAGGAGCAAATCAAAACATGCATATCAGACTTAACTTTCCCATTCCTCAAAGTCTGCATTTAATCAAACATCACTAGTAATAACAGCTACCACTTAACTGTGTGTTTATTAAAGATCTCAGATACCTGGCTAAGTACTTAGTATTAATCATTTCACTTAAATCTAACCACAACTCTATGAGGGGATTTCTATATTACCCACATTTGATAAATGAAGCATCCGAAACAGAGAAAGTGATGTCACACATAATCATTCCACTAGTGTGTGGCTTAGCCAGAATTCAGTCTCTGACTCCAAAACCCAAGATCTTAATCACTGCACACTCTGTATTTATAGAGTCCCTGTTGCCTCTTCTGTCCACTAGACAATAACTGGAAAATTTAGACACTCAGACACATACACAAATTCACAACAATTACCCAGTCTCTGTTGTGTGTTCACAAACACTTTTTCTTCAAAAAAAAAAAATCATGTTGGCTACTTGTTTGACCTATGAGGTGAAATTAGGTTACTGCACTTTGATTTATTATGCATTTTTTCCTATCCAAGAATAAGAGAAGTTTTCCTTTGATGGTGTAGAAAGTTTGTGGAAAAAATTAATATGATTGGCAAAACAGTCTTTCCTTCAACATGCTTGGCTTTTCCATGGGAGTTTGCTCCATTCATTCTTTCAGCAAATCTAGTTTCTAAGGCTGCATTGAACTCCACCTTAAACTTGGCTCTGGGCAGACACAAAAGAGGTTGGTGACTGGGTTCCTTTTCCCAGGTTATCTAAGAACGTAGTTAACTTACACAAGATCTATGTCTGAACACAAGTTCCTGATAATGCACTCCAAACCACACATAATTGCCAAAGATAGCAGAGAAGGGAGGAAAATCGCCCAAATTTCCAGATATACAAGTCCTTTGTGTCTCATCTTAAAACAGAGATGAAAAAGGATACATTTGCCTTTGATTCCCTGACCAATGGCACTTTCATGTCTTTTCCATTTGTGAGGTTTCTGTACAGTGGGAAGCCATAAGACAGTCACAAGCAGGATTAGTAAATAAAGACAGGTAGAAAGTAGTAAAGATCCAGGTCTAATATCCCTAGAGAGGTAACAGATCTCAATCTTCAGTCTCATGGTATGTTTTTCTGCAGGAATCTACACAGTTGCTCATCAGTTTGAGCGACTACATTAACACAGGAGCGCTGAGTTGTTCCACAGAGAAAATGAGTGAGCCAATAGCTACAACTAGCCGCCAGGAAAGAGAAAATGTGCTCTGAACACTCAGTGAGTCACCCAAACAGACAGGGGAGACTGTGTGCCAATTTAGCCAGAGTGTGACTTGGTGCCAGAGTGTGTGCACTCAGCAGGGTCAGGATTTGTATAGGAGGGGAGTTCTCCAGAGTCAGGCAGTAGCTATAGGTGACTGAGATGGTGGAGTTTTTCCCAATGATCTAGTGTGTTCTGAGGGTATTGGGTCTTGCATTCAAACAATAGGGCTGAAATCTGCCAGAGGCTGTTGGACCTCCAGGGCCAATCCTCAGGAGGTGGGCTCACACTACGTGAGCATAGTCAATTCTTCTGGCTGTAAGCAATGTTCCAACTGGGGTTACTCTTCCTGGTTCATTTCCTCCTGTGATCTAAAATTCCACCAGTTTCATATATATGCTGCATGTTTGCTCTCCAACTACTTATTTAAAGACGGTTGTGTTGAATACACTTACATGGAAAAGACAAACTGTTTATGAGTAATAAGTCTAAATAAATTGTTTTTAATTATTTACTGTGGCCAACATGGAAACACAATAGAAAAGTGTATCGCTTTTGACACAGAATAAACATAACTGGACAGATGGGTCATGATAGGCGACCTGCTTGTCCTGGCAAGAACTCTATACTCACCAGAACACACAAGAGCCCACAATGCACTTACAGCACAGTTGTCACTATTTATGCACTCTCCCTCCATCCCCACCACATAACTTATTAAGTAATAGGAACCTTCATAAATTCATCACTATGATTCTTTATTTTTTGAAAAGATTTATTTATGCATGCATGCAGAACTGGGGTACAAGTCAGAGGTGCAGGTGTGGTGAGAGGCTTCACCAGAGACAGAGTGGGGAGCAGAACAGGCAGATCGATGAAGTACATGCCTGAGGGAAGCAGCAGGCAGGCTAGGAGAGGTCTGCTCCACCATGTGGATCACCTCCCAGGCCGGGGATGGAACTCGCTCTGAAGTGGCTGCGGCCAGCTTGCGGTGCTGCATCCTAACCCATCGCGCCACCAGGGAGGGTATGATTCTGCATTTTTAACAAGTACCCTAAGAGATATGAAACAAGTCTGAGGACCCAGACGAAAAACGTTGTCTTACAGTATGCTAGATGAGGGAATTGCATTTAGACAAAAGTTGGTAGAACCTTCTGCCCAAATACAGTCCTCATACTTAGGTACTTGGCTGCTTAACTTTGAATAGTGAAGTCTTTACTGTTTTCTGTTGGGTGAAGAAGTAAAAGGGAGCAGCACGTATCTTAAGTTATTTCAAGATAGGCTTTTATATCTCAAATTAAATTTTTTATTGTTTTAAATTAAAGGCTCAACATGATAACCAACTAACAGACAACATACAGCAATCTGAAGCTGAGAAAAAAGTGGAGATGATGAAACAGGTGAGAGACCCCAAATTTTGTCAGTGCCACAGCTTTTACCTGAACAGGACAATACCTTGAGCTTTGTTGTTGTTTTGGTCATTCCTGCCTTCAACACAGAGGTGTGAGATATTTACTTTTGCAAAACGTTAAGCTTGATGCTCCAAAAGAATACCAATAATTAAAATTTAAAAGTTGGATATAAATGCAAATTTTTCTATTTAAAAATAACAGTTTGAGCTGCTTTTGAGCTACGTAAGGGAGTAGACAGCACATACCTGCTCTCTCATTTATGGTCTTTGCTTTAGTTTGCCACCTCAAACAACTGCCTTGTGTGTCACAGATGAGGATCCTA